TCTCTATACAAGGTTTCCCAGAGTCTGATCTAATCCTTATACAGTGGAGGAAGATGAAGGCACTTATGACAAGACCTCTGTGTTTCTTACAGGAGTAAGGGGAAACTTCTTGACTTTTATCTTGTTTTCCCCTGATCCCAGCAGAATATTATAGTCCTAAAAATATCAAGTCTGAGTTTAGCCATACATGACACTTGCATTGCCCAAGTTTCAAATACATTCCCTAATGATTATCATTAGAGTAGGACTGTCACACATGAAGCGTGTAAAATTGTTGATCAGAACAAAGCACCGTTTAGACCTGGAACAGAGCTTTAGAAACTCTGATCGCATTTGTCCTGCCTGAACAGCCTTCCTCACATAAGACAGTCCAGATGTTATTCTCTCTATTTTGATAGTGCATTCTCAGCTTTCTGTTGGACAGTTTGACTTTTAAATGCATGTGTGTGAATGCAAACTCCTTCTTATGGGATTCATTTACCCAAATGTCTTTTGTCTCTTTCAGGTTAAAGAAGCTTTTAAGCAAAGCATTAGTCTTTCAGCCACTGGGTACTTCAGGTAACGTATTTTTAGACCTCCCTAGGGTTATGGGTTTGGGAGATATGTCTCAATAAAACTGCAAGCATGAATTTAAGGAGTGGCTTTTAAGGATAATAACTCAAGCAGTGGAACCAGATGAACAGGACTTGACACCAGCATTTTTTTATTGACAACTTGGATTTTTTTATTGACCCTCGGCAATGTAATTATAACTTTAAACTGGTCTTTTAGACATGGTTTCCTGGGCAGCCTCTGTCAGAACCATTCTGGGATTTTGTTATGAACATTTCTGGATTGGAGTGTTTTGTTTGGCATATTGATTGCCTGACTATAATATGGACATGGTGACAGATTCCCAGGGGATGCAAATTAGCATAGCTCTGTTGACTTTCATGAAGTATTATTCTGGTAATTGCCCCATTACGAAGTTTCCACTTCAAGTGATTTCCAACTTGTTGGTCATTAAGTTTACTGTAGTAATTCAGATATTGACAGAACAACCTAAACTTCTGTGATTTATGTGGACTTTGTTGTTTCAACTAGAGGCTATGATGGAAATATGAACTGGGAGAAGGGAGAAGGACACCCATTTACATATTTTGTTTATGGAGCTGCTTGCTCAGAGGTTGCAATTGACTGTCTCACAGGAGATCACAAGGTAACCAGTACCTGTCTCAACTCATGCATAGTGCAGAGGAGGTTCCACCAGTATTTCTTGTGTAGCCTTATTTTTCCACTGATATATAATCTGGGTTATACTGCATTAAACACATGAAGGGTCTAAAAGAAGTAGCAATGACAGTTGAAGTCGATTGAAAACTGTATAACCTGCTTACAATCATACCTTTGCTGGATTTGTAAAAATACCATGTGTTCAAGTTTTATACTATAGCAGACACATGGCAGGCAGGATTTGTCTTTTAGGCACCGCAATCAGACAAGTGACACTGCAGCTCTGTATTTTATTTCCAGTCTCTTAACCATCTGACATGGTAAGGACTCAATCCTGCAAACACGTTCTACTCAACTTAGTGCTTGTTTCTGTGAGAAGGGCTGGTGGTAGCTGTGAATACAGTGAACAGATTCCTTCAGTCTTTTGCACTGGCTAAGTCACACTTAGGCTAATGGATACTTTGAGTGCCTGTAGACATGTGGGGATGCTGCTCTGACATGCTGGAATTACAGTGCATTGGAGCAGACTCAATTAATCAATTCTGCTGGATCGTGTTAATTAGCGTGTTCCAGCAATCTCCGTGTCTCATGTATTCAGTGTTCCCACACTTCAAAATGGTGGCAGGGCGCCTTAACTAAAGTTTGTCAAGCAAGCTTTAGTTAAAGTGCCTCCACTACCATTTTGAAGTGTGAGGCTTTGAATACATGAGATGTTGTGGGCACTTTAATTAGAGCGGCTCTTGGAGCCATTCTACTTAAAGCATCCCCACCCCCAGAAAATGTGTAAAGATGCCCTTTACCTCTGGAGAGACTGCCAGATAATAGCTCAGCATTGTGCATCCTGAGAGAGGTTTTATGAATGTGACTTGCCCCGCTGGATGCTAATTCTAACCCTCAAAACCTCTTTGCCTGCCCACCCATGCCTTACTTTCTACACTAAATATTTGTATTTTATTAATAGAACCTCAGAACTGACATTGTTATGGACATTGGATGCAGCATAAATCCAGCAGTGGATATAGGGCAGGTACGTGCTAGGAATGTCATGCTGTCCAGTTCGTACCAGGCAAGTGATGGTTGTCTTTCTTGGGCAGGGTGTCCTGGTCATCCAGGCAGAATTAAATTCTCTACAATGTCACCCGCATTGTAGATCATCTCATCGGGCAGAGAAGAGAGGGAAAAGAATTTTGGCCGGCTGACTTCAGGGAGGCCAGGATAGCACCCATAGTCCCTAGTGGCATGCTGCAGTGCCTCCCACTTGCACCTCTCTGACCATTGCTGGCCTGGTTTCAAGCCCTACGTTGGTCTGCAGTGTCCAGGCTCACCTGTGTATTATGACTCTGATCAGCATCTACTCATCTGCTAGGCATAGACTGTGGAGGTAAAGAGAGAGGAGACAGCTTTCTCCTTCGCAGTAACCCCAGCAGCCCCAAGTTGGGGAGGGGGTGGGAAGTGAGGGGCTGGAAATGAGTGATCAAATAGGAAAAAGAATGCGCTCCAGAAACCTAGAGAAGAGCTAACTCTTGTCAAGGCTGTATCCATCTTCCAGTGTATAAAAAGATAAACTTTGTCATTTCTTGTTCCAAGATTGAAGGAGCCTTTGTTCAGGGCATTGGACTTTATACACTGGAGGAATTAAACTATTCTCCCAAAGGAGTCCTTCACACTCGGGGACCAGATCATTATAAAATCCCAGCAGTCTGTGACATCCCAGAACAGTTCAGTGTTTCCCTGCTGTCACCTTCACAAAATCCCCATGCAATCTATGCATCCAAGGTAAGCAAGCCAGACCCTGGGGCATTATGTGCATGTCTCCCAGATATAATGATTTACACTAAATGAGCACATCTACATGTGCATTAAGGCACTTTTCTTAATGTGCATTAAATTTAGTACCTCCAATGCACAGTAATAAATATGCACAATTTAAGTGACACTTAATGCGCAGTAGCCTATTTTACTGCACATTAATGTAATCACACATTTTTACGTGATTCTGTAATGCACAGTAAAATAGGCTACTGTGCATGAAAGTGCACATGTAGATATGCTAAATGAATATCCACTTGTACCAGCTAAGGATCTGACCCATTTTATGACCTATACATTAGCTATAATGCAATGCAAGATGCAGGGGATATTGCTCACTTAAAGCATGATGCTAACTGCTCTTTAGGTTGCTTAGATGTCAGGCTATTTAGTACTGAAGAATATAAAAAGACATTTTAGAATACATTGGTGATAATATGTTATTTTTAAGTTAGAAAGTGGTGTTAGAATCAGTAGTTCCTTTTAGAACTATTTTTAGACATTCCTGAAGAATTTTCAGAGGGATTTTCACTTGAAGAAAATTGCAGTTCTGATGCACAGAACAGTGGCTATCATCACGCTTCAAAGTGTGCATAAAAACCTTGTTTATCTTATTCTTTGATGTTCGCATGCAGGGTTTCAGCCTGGGCTCAAACCTGCTCTATGAATGGCTGCATGTTATCATTGATGGTTTTCTTCACTTCTATCTGTATTTTTTAACCAAATGTTACTCTTTTAAGTTTGAAATCTTGTACTGAAGAGAAGTCAAAGGAGTCCTAATAACTGTAGCTAGCATTTGAAACCAGCCTGCTTAGATCCCTTAGGCAATCAGAAAACATAAGGTGGCCTAATCCTGCTTCTGTTGAATCAGTGGAAAATGCTCATTGACTTCCACGAAACAAGATCAGGCCTCATTTTACTCAGTAATTTTTTAAGGCTTTCATTTAGCCCCCCAGTATTGACAACACATTTCCTCCTTTAATGTGTTCATAAAGAATATCTATGTGACCCCCTGTGTTCTCTGTCAGGGTGTAGGTGAGGCAGGGTTGTTCCTGGGATGCTCTGTATTCTTTGCTCTAAGGGATGCAGTGTCCACTGCACGAAAGGAGAGAGGATTACCAGGGGCCTTCACGCTGAACAGCCCCCTGACGCCTGAGCGGATTCGAATGGCCTGTGCTGATGACTTTACCCAGATGGTAATGGGGCTTTACTTTTTGAGAGTTTCTGTTTAGCTGCTGCCTATTCCGTTTGGCATCTTGGGCCCATAGTTTTTATAGTTCACCAGGATATAATTGAAGTGCAATAAAAACATTCTGCTTGTTTTTTTAATGATTCTTAAATTTAAATTCTTAAATAATTAAATTGAAAATCCTTAATGCCACAGGCTGGAATGGCTTGCATGGGCTAGACCTGCTGCATTTTAAATTATTCAGATTACATATCAGTTCATGACCTGTCCTGTCCTGCCCTTACCTGTCCTGTGCTGCCCCTCGTACAACCTGCTCCCACTCGTTTCTTCCCACACACCTGTGTTTTATGCCTTCTGCACCTACACTAGCCTCTCTTTTTCTGTACACTGAGGACTTACTCCAGCACCACTGGGGTTACTGTGTACACCTGAGCAGCTGTTGAAATATGGGTGGACCAAATTGTCTGTATTTTGTGTGAACTAGAAAACCTGAGATCCCACTCACAGAGTTTTTGCCTTGTATTTGTAGGCTTGTGTGGGGTATAGAAATGGTGGTGAGTCAGCCCCCGTACCTGCAGCTCTGTGAAATTCAACTTGCATCTTGGAGCCTGGGCAGAGGGTAGGGCCATTAGTGCAGGAACCATGTTCCTTGACATGAAATGTTGGACCCCCCCTCCCTCCTGCCCCCTTCATCCCTATCATCTGCCTGCTTATCAGCACAGCACTAATATGTTTGCAAACCTCCTGTAGACCACCCTGACCAGTAAAATACATAGAGACATTTGATGCCTAATCCATGTAAATTCAGCAGGGGCTAACTATGAGAGGTGCAATGATATGTTGAAGGTACTGGTTAGAAATGGTTGTAACAAGCTCTTTCTAACTGCACGTCATTAACAGAATCACTTATATGACTTCTTGTTCATTTTGTTAGATTGCGAAAGATCA